TACCTGTGCTCACCTAATTACCATCCACGCTTTCTGTAGCACCTCAGTGTGCCAGCCCAATACTGACCCCCTGTCCCTTTTACTTGGAAAGAGGTGAGGGAGCCAGGACAGAATTAGCTACTCTTGCAGCAGTCCCAGACAGACAGAGAGTGATTCACGATTCTCATATTCCCGAGCAGAGGAAAGGGACCACTTAAACAATCATTTTAAACAATCTTTGTACTGTGTATACAAGACAGATTGTCTCAGTGGCTGTCAAGCTTGTACTTGTCTTTTTGTAGCCCATTGATGATCTTGAAAGCAGAAAATATCCACAACACGTTGTGCTCTGGCCAGAACATCTCCTGCACAGGGACTTGGAATTTGGGCTAGTGCAAAATACATGGACCAGATCTGCATGGAAGGTGTCAAGAGATGGCACGTTCCCATCTGTCTTCCTCTAACGCAGAATAAAGCAAGCTAATTACAGACAAAGCTGTTCTAAACAGAAGTTGACAGTCTAGGCTTTGTTACCTTGAGAGGGATGGAAAATATCCTTGGTCTTTTTAATAACCTTTCTGTTGTTTGTGATTGAATATGATCCAATTGCTCTAACAGAGTAGAATATTATGCAGAGCATGAGTCAGCAACACTTTCTTCCTGGAACAGCTGACAGCAAAGAAAGTTCACAAACTCTGTGTAGAAATATTCCTCCTCCCAGAGGAAGATCTGGAGTGCATCCATCAATACCTTCTGGGACCTCCCCTTGAGATGGACTTGTACTTGTCCATATGGAACCATCCCAGGTTCATTCAAGGTTAGAAGACACAGCTTGATGTGCAGCAAAAGCACTCAGGAGCCTGACGCAGAAGAAGAGAGGGAAGCCAGTTGCAGAAGTTCAGAGTGCCAGTGCATGTTCCAGCGGTCAGGAGCTTTGACACGAGGCCCTCAACAGCATTGGCAATGGGAAGATGTTAATGATTCCAAATGCTTAGGCTTGTCTGAGGTCAGCCAGTAAACAAGACTGGGTTGTTTCTTGTAAAATACAAATCTATAGCCACCAGCTAAAGGGTGGTTGGGAGCAGATTTGAAAGCTACTAATCAACGTGTGCACTATCCACTCTGTGATAGGAAAAAATAGACCAAAAATTCTTGCCCTGTTAGGATAAATTAAATAAGGTGGCGTATTTTAAAATACTAAATCTTTGAAATGTGCAATGGGCTCTCGTGTAAAACCCTGGACTTCAGTGAAAAGATGCCAGGAATGAGTTTTCCCTGATTTACTATATACTCCCCTCGGAGATTAACCCTGCTACCTACTGACATTGCCTTGTTGCAGTGTTTGCATTGTGTTGAGAACAGCCATCTGCTCTAATGTTCCAGCAGGTGACAGACCATGCACGGTTACAGGCCTGGCATCCAAACAGTCTCCCTGGACAAATCCATACCCTCCACTGGAAATTTTTCCCAAGCAAAGCTACAGTCTGATAAGCAATCTCAAGTTTTGGATTGACTTTTGTTCTTTCTGTTGTTGCTATTGGATATTTGCTGCCACTGGATAAAGTTTCTGGCAGCTACCAAGTGATTAGCTATGGTGGGATCCAACATTTTCCTACGGAATGAGCATTTCTGCCAAAGGTGCCAGCTGAAGCACAGGACTGCTGCTTTTTAAAGAGTCCAGACATATGAAAGCACCTAAATCACTCCCTGTTCAATGCCAAGTCACCCAGCCTCCTCCCTGCTCTGTGCTCAGGTTAGTCAATGTGCCAAACGCTTTCCCATGAGCTGAGACCTCGCTCCTGTGCCAAACCACATCCACTGAGGTCTCTGCTCTCTACCTTCAGCCTCGGGGGAGCGGTGGGGATGCAGGTGTATAGACAAGACTCGCATTTCGCAAAGTTCCTACTGATTTTTAGAAAGTTTACAACAGAGCCCCAGACCTTAAAAGAACAGTGTGATTGCGACAAAGAACAGTGTGGGAAAACCAGTATACATGCATGTGCAGCCCTCCCACACGCACACTGACTACCCCAGATATAGGCATACCCACAGATCAGCACCTACACACAAATGTTTTTGACACACTTATTCTCAGCATCCTGTTCTCTTACAGCAGCCTCGGTTGGAGGAAGGGAGGAAATATGTTCCTTCTAACCTAATCTTCTAGTGACCTTTCTGCCAGCTCCACTTTCCTGCCTATCTCTAAGCTGCCCATGGTGGTGATGGGAACAAAATCCCAATGTAGAGAGTGATTTTCCTCCTCAGAGGTCAACAGGGTCTGTCTGCTAGATTGTGATGTGCTGCCCAATTGCTTTTAAGAGATTCAGGATAAATAAGGAGATAAGAAAATTGTTTACGATTGCATCTCTTGGGCCCCTTGCAGCTCTGCCAGAGTCCTTGCAGAGTCAGAGGACTGTGACTGTGCTGCAAACCTGGTGCAGGCAGGCTCCCACCACCTCTTCCCTTCCTGGATTGCAAACTCACTGCCAAGCCTGGCAGCAGGTCCCAGCCCTCTCACTCTGCCCTGCACCTTTCCCACAGCTGCCTAAACCTGCAGGGAAGGAAAGCAGGAGAGCAGGCAAACGCGGCAGCGTGCCATGGTGGCTGGCTCCCAATGCTCTGATACAAGCCAATATTTGGAGGGTGACCATCTCAACTTTTGCTGAGAGGCTTTTAGGGCTCTGTAAGACATGCTGAACGGCTGTCATCCAGAGCTGTCCTGTGGCAGCTGGGGGCTGTGATGGATTCTCCTGGCAAGAGACACCTTGCTCCACTCCCTCTCTCCAGGAGGATGTGAGAGACAGGTACTCCTCAGTTGCAGGGTGTTCCTGGCCTCCATGCTGCCTGTCAGGGGGAGATTCATTAGCAGCAGGGAGGCGATTCTCTCTCCTCTCTGCTCTGGAATTGAAGTCGTTTGTCTCGGGAAGGAGCCTGGGCGCCTTGCTCGCTGTGTGGCAGCTTCTGCTCAAGGGAGACAAGCACTTCGTCAATAAACAAGGAGCCTGGGGAATGTCTCCAGCTGACAGAGGATATTATTAATGACCAGCACTTTGGCTGAGGGCAGATCAGTCTCCCATTAGCTCCTTTACGAGGGGAAAGAGAAATAGAGCTAAAGATGGCAGCCTTGAGAGGAGCTGGGAGTTTCAGGATCCTTCTGCAAAGTCCCCCGTTGCAAGGCCCAGGGCTGGCACAGTACCCAAGGAGTGACTGTATATTTCCCCAGTGTGAGGAGTCTTCTAACTGTGACAGCAGGAGACAGGCCCAGCTTAGGAACAGTTTCGCTTCCCAGCCTACCATGGGTGAGCTCTGCTACAGAGATCTTCCAGACCAGAGCTTCCCCATCCCCTCTGTCCCTCTCTCAGTCTGCCTGGGTGCAAGCGGTGTCTTCCAGTATCTGCTACTGCAGCTTCTTGCTTTGGAGGGCCTGTGGACCTTTGTGCAGTTCCTTCCCAGGCCATGCAGTGAAGAAGGCATTGAGGGTATCTGAGAGGAGGCTGTTTCACTATCTTCACCCTTGGGAAGTGGTTAGTACAAGGAAGAGCAAGAAACACCATCCCACGTGGCCATGCACTTCTGGCTGTGACTGGAACTGGAAAAGCTGTTGACTCTTGTCATGGCTGGACTCCTAAACTTATCTCCTCAGGTGGAAGAAGCCTATAAGCTCTAAAGCAACTGTTGATTCACCTTCCAATCATACTTAATTTGCCATGGCACCATCAGGGTGGAAGCAGAGAAATCCCTACTTTGTTGTGACATTGATAGTTCATCCTTCTCTGTCCTATAGCCCTAGAGTTGCCAGAAGAGTGAGTCCTTGGCTCCTGCACAAAAAATGTGGTGAAAGTACTAAGCCCATGGTTTAGGTCTTTGAAGAGTCTTCTGTTTGCAACCACACTCACAAAGAAAGTTGTGAAATCTTTAAGCTGAACACCTGAGTGTCCAGCCACCCTGCTGCATAGTCAGGGTGTAGGATCAGTGTCATCTTGGTCTTCACAGTTCTTGGAGTTAGCTCTTCATGCCATGGCTTCTTCTCACTGTGCAGCTGCAGCTGTGGTTGCTTCATAGCTAAGGGTGCATCCACTATCCTCTTCAGATCCTGTTGCCTGGGTGTGATGGTGAGTTTTTAATGAAATTTAAATCTCTTTTCAGACTGAATGCTCTTATGCTCAGCCTGAGATCAGAGGAAAATATGTTGGGGAGTCATCCCTTTTCTCTTAGAGGTTATTCTGCTACCACAACAGGCCTGAAGTCCAGAGTTCAGAGCTGGCTCTAGGTTTAGGAGCCTCTTACTTATTCTGGTCTTGGATGCTTGGAAATGGAATGGATGGATCTGACCTCCACATTCTTTGCTTCACATTATCTAGCCTGGGGCTGTTCAGATTTAGGATTCAAGTGTGAGCCCATCTTTGCAGACTTGTGCAGGTAAACCACCACTTGATTTTTACTTGCAGAAAGCTGGAAAAACTTTACAGCAAGACTGGCTCAAGGTCTCTCCCTTGCGGTTAAAAATTACTGTCCTGGGGCTGAGAGTGCTGTAGGGTCCCTGGTCTGCTGCCTCCGGGGTTGCTTCCACTGTGGCAGGAAAAAAATGAGGGACTTCTAGGTCTGCTGTTATTTATGAGCTGAAACAGGTCCCACCCAGATAAATGGTCCATTTCGGCTCTGAAACGAGCTCTGGACTCTGCTCCAAGCCCCTAAGTGGATTGCCTTCTGGCCAGCCTAGCTCTCTGGTGATTGAAAAGCCGAGAGGAGTTAGAAGGGGGGGCGGGTAGGGATGCGATGTTCAGAGGCTGTGTGGACTCAAACTAGCTGGATTCACTGAACTCATCACCGAAATAACTTCTTGTGGTGCCTCTCTGTTTTAATTTTCCCTGAATCAGCCCTCTCCCATGAGTGAAACAATCTTGCCTGCAGATTGAGGGGGGTGGGAGGGATTTGAACATTAATCTGATGTAGATTATACATCCGCCTCCCTCTCTCTCCCCTTCTCACTCTCTCTCTCTCCCTCTCTTTCTGTCTGTTTCTCTCCCCTCCCTCTCCTTCCTGCTTCATCTCTTCAAGAAAGTGAACATAAAGTAAAAACACGGAGAGAGGGAGGCAGAGAGAGAAAAAGCTCCCTGAAGAGGGAAGCCCCAGCAGCCAGTAGCTGTTTGGATTTGCCTGGCGCTGCCTTTATTGCTTTGCTCCCAAGGAATTCCTTTAATGGGATCAATTGCTTCAGTTCCTTTATAACCAAGTCCACCGGAAAGGCAGACTCAACATATTATGGGCAACTGTGTGAAGTCTCCACTGAGAAACCTCTCAAAAAAGGTATGTTTCCCTGAATCAAAGTGCATTGTGCCTTTCCAGCCCTGCTGCTTGGGATGGGTGACGTTGTGGGCAGATGGGAATGGGAGGTGGGAGAAACAGAGATGTGTATGAAGGGTTTAACTCTCTTCACCAGACTTTTTTTGTAAGAGCTGCTGATGCGAGTGCAGCCGTTAGGAGCCCAGGATGCTGAGAGCCATAGCGTGTGTAAATCAGTGTGTGTTTACACACGCACATGAGGAGGCTTGTGTCCTGCGCTGTGTGTGTGTGTAACTGTCCTCTGGGTACCTGCCAGCTTGTGCTTGTTGGTGTGCGCAGTGTGCTGGCACACATCTTCTGTCTGGGCATCTCCATGTGTGTGTGTGTGTGTGAGTGTATGTGTGTGATCTGATGTGTGCGTGTGCTTCACTCGAGAGGTATCTGCATGAGTCTGGTCATGTGTGTTGCTTCTGCAGGGACACAGATTCATGTACATGTGAATGGGCGTGTGTCTGTGCGTGTTCCTGTCCATGTGTAAGCATGTGCACACCTAATGAGCCCGTCTGAAGTACGTGTGTGTCCTTAGCTCTTTGTGTCTACGTCCACATCCTGAGGTACATGAGCAGGTGTGCAGTGTTTGCTGTGAGTGTACAACGGGGAATTTGTGTGCGTCACACACGTATCCCTGCTTGTGTGCTGCTGTGTGTGTGTATCTGTAGTGGATGTCCTCACAGAAATCTGTACACAGACATGCGTGTGTTTTTATGTGTTTCCATCCTTGCGTGTGCACACATCTAGTTTTGTTGGTGTGTGTTTGGGTACAGAAGCACGTTTTTCTCTGTGGTCTGTTTATCCATGCCTCTGTTCATGAGTGGAGACACTGGGCCCTGGCTGCATGCTCATGCATCATGTCGCATGTCAGCACAGCCCGTGTGTCTACGTGCCTGGGCCCAGCTGGACTTCATCTGCGAGCTGCCATGTGTATCTGTTAGGCTTCAACCCGCGGTCTGCGCTGCGCTGAGGTTTTGCAGTGGTCTCGGGATGAATTAGATTCAGGAACGATTCGCTGTTAGGGACTAGATTGAAATGGGAATGATGTGCCCCAGAAATATTTCTTGTTTGACTGAGGAAGGTCTTGCAGCACTGTGTACCTGTCAGCTGCACAGTTCTCACTGCACATCTAATAACTCAGCCAAAAGCTGTGCAAGTCACTCCTCATAAATGAAAAAGTTATTCTAAGCATACGAAGTATTGCAATGAGGAGCTGCCTCTGTGGAGACCTTGTCAACAGTGAAATGCCACTGCCATCAGGATGCTCCACCCCGGAGACCTTGCCACCCAGGAAAGCTCCTCTGGGAGGGAGCTGTTGGGGAGAGGACCTCCCTAGCAGAGAGTTTCTTCTGGCTGAAGATTTGCCTCTTCTGTGTAGAAACATAGTTTGTTTGTTATCTTGGCTGCTGTAAACAAAGCCAGGAATGGCAGAGTGCTGCTGTGGGGGAGCTGGGATAGGCGAGGAGGGAATTCATCACCAAGCAGTTAGGCAGTGCTGAGACCAGTCCCTAGGTCAGGGCAACCTTCAGGGAGAGGCAGAAGTAGTTGAGGTTTACCCAAATGTTGCACATATGAAAAACCAACTTGGTTGCTTGTAGGTCGCCTCCAACTTGCACTGAAAGAAGTTGGCTGCAGCTACGCTCAACATTATCAAGGTGATTGCAATTAAACTCTGATGTGTGGCCAGGCAGCTTGAATCAAAATGGTTTCAAGAATTTATAAGCTCTGTGTCATCAGTCTTTTAGGTAATTTATGCTTTCATTCCTAAAAACTACTTCAAATAATGCACTTTGTGCCTTGTTAGAAGGCCTGGGATGGCAGGACTAAAGAGAGAAAGTTGCAAAGCTGAATCAGAGAATTTCTCAGACGTTGCTCCAGCTAGCCATCGTTTAAGGCCTCGGGCACTCATCCTGACAGGTCCTGGGGCTCTGTCGTTCTTTTGATCATGACACACATGATTATAGTGGAGACTTTGCAGATCAGTCTTGACATTGCACAACTTTGCTTGGCTGTTTTATTGTCCTGGTCTTTTTTCTCATACTTTACATTTTGCTGAAATGGCAAAGAGGAGGGACTGCAGGCAACGTGTGTGAAAGCTGCTCTTGAGTGACAGGCTGATCTCTTGAATGCATGATTTCAACCCGAAATTTGGGAGTCACTCCCAGGCACCGGCTAGCTTGGTCTGGGACTGGCTGACACAGGGGTACCTTACCTGTTCTGGTGGCAATGCTGAGCCTTTGTCACCACAATGTCTGTTGTTGGCAGCTTCACTTTCCCACTGTCACAGTGTCCCCCCCGGTGATCCCAGCAGCCAGCCTGGCTGCCTTTCCCTCTGAGAGGCTTTGCAGTCGGGATGAAGAGGCCCCTCTGGGCTGCTGCTCTGCACAGTCCCTCTGACACACAGGCAGGAAAATGAGGTGAATCTTTTTATGCTTCTGCTGTGAAGAAAGGGAAAGCTTTGCCACCCTTCACCATCACTACAGCCATCTCTAAATCAGCCAGGTCTGTTCCCTTTCCACAATCTGCTGGTCTGACACAGCCAAGGGCTGGACTCAGCCTGGAAAGGTGGTGGTCATTTGCTTGGGGAAGGGACAGGGGAAGTCTGAGCTCCCCAGTCCTGTCCTTGCATTTTTCTTGTGTGCGCTGCTGTTTCCCCTGTAAGGAGCGGCAGCTGCTGCTTTGCCCTGTACCCATATCACAGCTCCCTCTCTGCCTCTGCCAGGGTGGAGGAAGAACATGGTGAAGGGAATTTGTGGAGATACTGTCAGGGGAAGCCTGGGGGGCTGCTGGCAGAGGGAACATCAAATGCCATAAATCCTGCCTGCAGTGGAAGAGCTGGGCAGGGATCCCCCGTGTCCTGGTTTTTGCTGGGATAGTTAAACTATCACACCCTGTCCGGGGGTCTTCCTAAGACGTGCACCTTGTCCTGGCACTGTGTTGGGTTGTCTGGTCAGGATCCTTGGTGACTCTTGGCAACTGTTTCATCTGGCAATCTCTATCCACACAGGAAAATAATGGGGTGACTGTTCTGTGGCACTGCTCCGTGGCTTGGTCATAAACTCTATTGACTGGAAGGGTCTACAGACAAGGATTAGGGGCTGTGGAGCCCTTGGCCTTTCACCTGGCTTCACTGAAATTAAACACAGAACCAATGTGGGCTATTTTAAGTGATTCATATTATTTGGTATATTAAACTGGAAAATGTGCCAGGAAATAAAGCTGATAGTTTTGAAAATACATTGCCCTGATATCACAAAGCTGTGCAGTTCAACACAGATGCCTTGACATTTAGCTGAGCTAGGAATATGCCATTTGTGGATGGATGCTCATCTGTCAGGTTTTTAAGGGCAAGTGTCCGATGTGTCAGGTTTAATCAGAGGCAGATTTCTTCCTCATCCATGACTGCAACAAAAATGCTTTTCTGCTTCATCATTTTCTTTCTCCATGGCTTTTTGAGTTGTTTTTGGTTTGATGCTCGATATTCACATGACATTATACATGAGCAGATTGGTGTAAGACTGTGTACAAAAATGCAAACTGCAACCCGTGTGTGCAATATAATAGCACATGGCAGAAACAGCGAGGAGATACAATAGACTCGGACAAGTGTGAACAGAGTGTGTGTGTGTATCTGGTCTTTTAGCCTGAAAAAGCACCTCAGGCTTTAAGGAAAGAGTTAATAGAGACAATGACAATTGACAGAGCTTCTCTGATCACCCCTGGGAGCACCGGCTGTAAAAGTAGAATCATTCCTGGAGAGGAATCTGATGTATGATTAATGTTTATTCTATAAAACCCAGGGTCCTGTGGGTTGTGCTGGCTTTTTATAGCTGCATGGGAATATCGGGATAAGAGTTTTCTTGCAGAGCCAGGGAAATGCATTTCTATAAAAGGAAAGCAGTGCCTCCTTATAAAATCCAGTGCTGGATTCTGTTCTGGAGCCCTTGCTTAGCAGGACGTGTACGCTTAGGAAAACGTGCAAATGCAAACAGACAAAAATGCTGTGCCCGTGCCTGATCTCCACTTTGGGACTGTCAGCGATTAGGAGAGGCCAGTGCAGTAACTGCCTGAGACCCTGAGGATGTAACTAATTAGCAGTGACACAAGGAGCGTGAGCCTGCAGTTGGCAGAGCCGCCTGATGCTGTAAATGGCCTTCTAATAATATTATAAAGAGTGTGATGCTGTGTTGCTGAAATGTAATGCGGAGCCCAATGCGGGGTCTTTGTGCCGGCTCTGCCTGGTCTCCCGGGACACCCTGGCTGATATAGCTCTGCCAGCAGCTTCACCCTGGGCACAGGCTGGCACATGCACTGTTAGGTTGGGGTGTTTTTGTCCTGTGCAGCTCATTGAAGGGATTGTTAACTCTGGGGCTGATAGTGGGAGCGTGGCCCTTTGGGCTGTGTCTGGGTAGATGTGAGCAGTGCTGAGAGTCTGATGTCATTTCAAAGCAAAATTCTTCTGGTTGGTTGTACTTCTATCAGCTTTTGAAAGTGAACTCCTGGACTTACTGCTTCTGTTCACATCCTAATAGACCAGTGGGGGGGGACGCAGCATGGACCAGATGAAGGAAATGTAGCAATAATGTCTCTGCGAGGCGGTTCAGTAAAACTTCAGAGGAAAGGCTGGGCGAGATGGGGAGGTAACATCCTCTGTTGTGTTGTTTGCTTGCTGCTGGTTGGCTGGGAAGATCCGCCATGAGGAGAAGACGAGCTATAAGGCTGTCCAGACGAGCGAAGAGGGGCCGTCGGCTTGCGAGTACCAGGGTCCACTCATGGTGCTGGCCCAGAACTGCGCCGTCATGCACAACCTGCTGGGGCCAGCATGCATCTTCCTGAGGAAGGGCTTCGCAGAAAACAGGCAGCCTGTACGTAAGTTACACCCAGCCGGGCGAAACACGCACAAAGCCACGTGGATGCGAGCTGGGATGCAGAGCTGCCCGCATCCTCCGTCTGCGTGGAGCTCTGTAACACCCAGCCCTGGGTCTCGAGCATCCCAGCTCCAGCTCCAAGTGCAAATACAATCACAGGCAAATGTCTAACCCAAAGGATGTGCAGAGATATCCCCGTGCCCCAACACCAAGGAAGGAGGATTCTAAAAATGCAGCTATGGAAGGTAGATCCAAGCCTATACTCAAGTAGGCATAATCAGGTGGACTCAGGAGAAGGACTTAGGACTTCAGGACTTACATAATCATATAGACTCAGGAGGAGTCCACTGTTCAAAGCTGTTGTTCCAGCAAGACATCCCCACGTCGCTCCCCGAGGCTCAGATTAGCATTTAAGGCCTAAATAGCCACTTAAATGCAAATCACGGCATCTGTATTGGGAACAAGCTGTCCCACAGAGATGTCCTTATTGATACTGTTCCTGTCAGCTCAGAGTGAGCACACTAGTACCGGCAGAAATAAGCAGGCATCTGCCTCCTCACAGATACCCAAACACAATCTCTTGTACAGTATCACACACAGCCTGACACTGCAGCAATCCCAGCCAAATAAACCAAAGAACATCACTCTCTCCTCATATTTGCAAATAGTGCCAGACTCCCAAATGCTGTTACCCACACACAGAGATAAATAGCAAAGACATCTGTCCCTTCAGTCACACCTGTTTGTAATTAGGTGTCTGTGCATCTAATGTATGCATTTGTATACAAACAATAAAAATACCTGTTTGTATGTCAATTCAAATGTATATGCCTGGACATGTTACATATACATAAATATGCACCCCAGTTTTGGATCTTTACAAGAAGTAGAACATATTTTTGCACATAAACATCCATTTCCTACAATAAGATGAGTTTAAAGACATACACAAACGTATGATTAACACACTTCTTACAGATATGTATGAGTGAATATGTGCATTGTCAGATATTCACCCAGTGTGTTCCGTACTCTTTTAGTGAGACAAAGCTCACCCCAGTTACCTGAGAGTCAGAGCTTTCTTGCCTCTGTAAGAAATCTCTTACTCATGCATTGTTATGGTTATCTATAGCTGTAGGAGACACCTAGATCTTGATTTCTGAAACCTCTTTTTCAACCAACAATCCAAAAAAAGAGTTATTTGTCGTTATTGATCAAAGAGCTTTTGTTCTTCCCAACCTTCAGCCCCTAAGTGATCACATATTCCTTGTGCCACTTCACTAAAACACAAAACACAGTATTCTCACAGAAGCACACTTGCTGGCATGCACAGAGCTACCTGTCATAGGAGAGGTCCAGCTCCCTAGGGGAAAGCTCACAGCTGGACAGGTATCCGTGCTGCTTAGGCCCTGGAAACTCACAGTACCCTAAGAAGTCTCCAAAATAGGATTAGTGATGTCTCTAACTACCCTGATGGAGAATAAGTGCATTTGATAAACAGCTTTACTTTTACTGACTCTCTAGACCAACAGGATTTATTGTGCATAGAACAGAAATAAAGGAGGGTAAGACCATTACATGTAATGGACTCTCTGAGGGTCACCTCTGCTCATATCTAGGATCTAAACTCTCTCAACAGTTTTATTCCTTTTTCCATATGTTCTCCAAAAGCTTTAGAATGATTCAGCCCATTTCTTCCCAAGCAGTTTTCCTCCTTTATCATTTTAGGGGATCTTCTTTCAAATTTAAAACAGAAAATCTCTTCATGACGTTAGTTATCGCCTGAGTCAGATTTTTGGAGGGATGTAAACCCTCCCCCTCCTTTTGCATTCGCAGTCTGTGGCTCTCTGATGGTAGAATCTGCATGTGCAAAGATGTGCTCAGAGCCCTGCAAACGCAAATGCCTTGGTGTGCAAAATTAGAGCCAGTGCTGAAGCCCCCATTTGTGACATGTGTCACTCCTGTCGGTTGCAATGTGGTCTTCAGAAAGCAAGGAAGAGGATGGTCTTGTGACAGCTGTGCTGGAGGAAGGCTTGGGTCCTACCCCAGCCACTGTCACAAGGCGGTGGTTACCGCGGGTGAGTCACGGCACCCTTCGCGCCGTAGCGGTGGTGATCACACCTCTGCCTCTGCTGCCGCGCTCAGCCGGATGTCGGCACGCAGCGCTATCTCCGGGGATCAGCGTTTGTGAACTCTGGAACAAGGCGCACGAGGTGTGGGTACTGATCATGGGTGGTTTTCATCTACCATTTTATCTAAGGCAGGAGGGCAATAATGTCTCCTGCATCCGGTTTAAGGAGTTTGAATTGTTTTATTACTTGGTGTTGATGAAAGCAGAACAAATGGGATGACATGTTTGAAAATACCAGGTCTGTGAAGGATGAAACGGCAGAGCCAGCGTGCTCCGACAGTTCCATCCAGCACAGAGATGCCTCTGGGAAGGTTATGAGTGGCAAGCTGGTCATTGCTCTGGCACAGCCCACTTGTGCACAGACGTCAACCAGTGTGTGTCCTAGTTTGCTGTGCACTCTGAGCAGCTGCCGTTAGAGTTTCTGGAGGAGCCTGTGGTTAAACAGCAAAGGGTCATCCTTCTCAAACTGATCAAGGGCTCTGTCTCCAGGGATGTGTGGTGAGGCTGGAGGACACCTGGAAGGGAAGGTGAAACTCCCCATGGCTGAGTGGAAAAGCTGAGAATGAGACAACAAAAAACATTGTGTTTCTGTGTTTCCAAATTCCGAGATGTTTTGGATTTGCCTGGGAGCCATGAGAGGAGTTAGAAAGGGCTTTTAAACCAGAAAGCAGTGCATTTCCGTGCTCTTCTCTTCGTCCTGGTGCAGTGTTGGAATTTTCCTATACTCTTTTTATCCTCCCCCTCCTTCCAAGAAATTCAGATTGGATGTTTGAAGTTGCAGTGTTTCCTGAACATGGTGAATCCTTGTCCTGTTTTGTTTGTAGATGACCTTGATGATGTATATGTTGTCTGTCTGCCTTCATGCCTGTTTTCAAAATGATTGTATGTAGAGTTGAGGCTGGGGGAAAGGGGCAAGTTCCTTCCTTTTTGTGGGGATGGACTATAGGAGATGACACTGGTGTGTTGGCTGAAAGAGAGCTCATGGCTGTCCCTGTCCTGCCAGAAGGACAGGGATCAAGCAGTGATCCAGCAGACAATGCTATAGACCTGTTGGTTACAGGAATGGCTTCCAGCTGTTTTGATCTGGCTGTTTCAGTGGGAGCTGCGATAGGAAATACAATCAGAATTCCAGAGGAGATCATAACTGCTGCAGGGCCAGTCTCTGCTCCAGGATGTGCTGCTGGGGAATGATGCAGGAGCTTCATGAAGGTGCTCATAATACCATCAGGTGGGGAGGCCACACATATTGCTGTGCTGGCCCAGGTCTCTTCTCTTTTGGGGGAGCACCTGTCACCCCTCTGTCCAGCAGATGAGAGGGAGAGGGACTTCCACAGGGAAGAATGCAGGCTTACACCCCTCCCGTTGGGGAGCAGAGCTGGGAAGCTTTGCTTGGTAGATGGTATTAAACATGTCATCACCTTCTTGTTTCTTCTCTCACTTTCTGGCTTGTCCCAGAACTGTTTGCACCAATAAGTGCTATTCTGAAACTGTTTGTGGCAAGTTTTAACATAGTATGTTCTCTTTTTGCAGGATAGAGAACTGCGTCCAGAAGAAATTGAAGGTAAAATTTGTTGCTCTTTCTGTGTCACCTTTCTCCCTGCCCAGGGAAAACCTACTGGCTGGCCTTTCCATGTTGGCCCCATGGGGGAAAATAATTTGGGGCAAACTAAGGGAGATGATTACTGGAATAACTCCTGGCAACCCCAGCAAAAAGAAATAATATGTAACACTGCAAGAGTGCTGACTGTGAAGGAATTTGCATCTATTCCAGCTTCTTCAGGGTGGGAGTAAAGTAATGGGATGTTGGCGGTCAGGAAACTGCTGTCCACTCCAGCTGCCACAGGAAGTTTTGTAGAGCATGGTACAATAGTGTGGCTCCAGGAAAGCTGTTTTACCTGCTAATCCCTACAATAAGTGCTGTATAATATAGTGCAGGGGTAAAAGTTGGAAAAACTTACTGCTTCCAGTTTCTTTAGGGAGCGCAGTTCAGGAGCAATCAGTCCATGGCACTTGCAGTCCAAGCAGGCTTTCCTGTAAGGAATGGGTCAGCAGTGCTGCTGATAGAAGAGCTTAGCGTTGCTCCAGTCGTTGCATCATTGCAGGGAGATCTCCTGTGAAAATGCAGTGTATCTTAGGGAGCCTGGCCTCATAAAGTGCTGCTGATTCTGGGGAGGTTTCTTGGAAAAGATATTTCAAGCTGTCACTGACAATATTGTTCTTTTTTGGATCCACTCCCACAGAATTAAGAGAAGCCTTTAAGGAGTTTGATAAAGACAAGGATGGGTTTATTAACTGCAGGGACCTGGGGAACTGCATGCGAACCATGGGCTACATGCCTACTGAGATGGAGCTCATAGAGCTCTCCCAGCAGATCAACATGAACCGTAAGTAATATCCACCCAGGTGTACCTCCCTGTTGCTGCTGTGCCCTGCGTCACTGCCTCGGGCTCTCAGTCTCCTGCTCTCTCTTTTCCTTAGTTCTTTTTCTCCCCTCTTTTTTTCACTCTCATTTTTGCTCCCTATCATCTCCCATTCATTTGTGATCCCTAGCAGTTGATGCCTTTGTTTCTTGCTTCTCGGATGAAGGGACTGTGTGGATTGTGCTATATGGGAAGACTGTGTAGAAGGGTTGTCCTTTGTGCTTGTGCTGTCAGGTGTAAAACTGCTCTTGGTGTGGGCAGTTAGACATCAGTGAACAGGTTATGGGTGTTGTCATATTGAAGCTGGTGTCAGATGGTGCCAGAATGAAGAAGGAGCCTGGGAAGATGGGGATGCTTTGGTCAGAGTGGGTGATGGATGGGCTGTTCTCTCTGCAGTGGGTGTTTGTGGATGTGCTGTGTGCCTGGGGACGGGCTGTGAGTGAGCTGTGCTGACGGTGTCACATGGGGGCATCTGCTGGAGTCATGGAAAAATGTAACAAACGCATCCGATCCACTGTAGCTGTTTGTGCCCCTTGTCTTTCACCATCATTTTTTGTTGCCTCTTGTCTGTGGCAGTGCAGGGTGTTACCCTCAGACAAGTGGGAAAAAGGATATTTAGTGCATGTTACTTCTGAGACATGATGATGTAAAAAGGACAAGTTATTTTGGTCAAGGGAAGGAAAAGAGTTGTGACATATGCAACCAGTCACACACAAAAGCAGCTGATAACCCTGGCACACAAGTGCTTAGGAATTTGAGAGTGTTGCTGCTGGCTTTCAGGTAGGGGACAAACAAGGAAAAGGTCTAATACAATGAATAAGCAGTTGGACATACATTAGCCACTGCTAACAGAGCAAGACTCCACCACTGCTGCAGGGCACTGCCCAGGCCAGGCACGAGCATCATGCTGTGCCCTTGCCGTACCCTTTGGCACAGACGCAGCAGAGGGTTGATACAGGCACTGGAATGGTCAAGCCTCTAATACCTGGTGTGTGATGCCATAAGGATGTGACAGGCCATGGCAGTTTAGGATAGAATGGCTTTGGCTCATTCTGCCTACCCACAATCCAGAAAATACAAAGACAGTGTAAAACTGCCTCTGCTTTTCCTTCCACTGTCCTGCTACTTCTGTGCTTTGCTTCCTGGAGAACCAAGCTGTCTCTGGGGCACACAGAAGTGCAAAGTGAGTGCTCGACTTGGCTGATGTATGGAGTTCTTACACACAATCTTTCATCTTGTCCCAAGTGGGTGGCCATGTGGATTTTGAAGATTTTGTTGAGCTGATGGGACCAAAGCTGCTAGCAGAAACTGCAGACATGATTGGTGTAAAAGAGCTCCGCGATGCCTTCAGAGAGGTGAGTGCTCCCTACTGCGTGGCCCCCAGAAAGGTGAGCAACAGGAGACAGGAAAGAGAGAAGACCCACAGGGGAAGAGAAGAGCAGGAGGAGAGAGCAGCACAGTAGAAGACAGAAAGAGACAAGCCAGGCATGAAACAAGGGAGGAGCAGAGAAAGTCACTAAGAAAGGGAACCCTTGAGACAAGGAAGAGGAAAGCTGGTGCAGATGCAGCAGTTATGAGGGGTTTCTGAGGAGAAAAGACAGACTGGATCCAAAAGGCCCCCAAAGGAGGAAAAGGAGGGACACAAAAAGAATGCAGAAAAAATAGGGCACTCAGAAGCAGGACAATACAAAATCCCGTCCAGAGCAAGATCTGTTTCCATTAACTGTATTTCCCCTGCTGGTATTTTTCATGTACTTGCAGTTTGACACCAATGGTGATGGGGAGATCAGCACCAGTGAGCTGCGAGAAGCCATGAAGAAGCTTCTAGGGCAGCAGGTGGGCCATCGGGATATTGAAGAGATCATCCGGGACGTGGATCTGAATGGAGATGGGCGTGTTGATTTTGAAGGTGAGAAGGGATGAACGCTCCCTCTCTATCTGCTCTGGTATGAGTCAGAGTTTCAGCTCAGAGGTGGAAGAGGAAGGGAAGATTGCATGCTCGGGGCCCAGGTATCTGAAGTATGGAGAAAAAAAGCAAACAAGACATGGGTTTTTTCCCTAGTCAGCTGAGAAAAAATGAGAATATTGGCCCACACAGGAAATTCCTCAGCTGAAGTGTTAATTTGTGTATCATCTCTTGCTGCATCTCAGTTTCAACTGGATTTCTCTCCATAACTTTAGCATGGTAAGAGATATACCCTATCACAGAGAAGCAGATTCTGGTCCACACATGCTATTCCAGCCTTCTTATTATGGGGCATTTTCCTTTCTATTAAATCATTGCAAGAGATGTGAGGAGGCTGGATTGGTTTGGAGAATGCCTTGCACCTCTGCCATTCCTCTGGCTCACCTTGTTATCTGGGTTTATAGAGAATTTGTTTCTGTGCCTTTGTGCCAGAAGAGGGTCAGGTGCCAGCTGTGCTCACTAGGACTGCAGATATCTGATGTAGAGGTGTCACGTTAAATCCTAGAGGTAATTCATTTCTTCTCCCGCTTTTCATGCCAGAAGGACTTGGAAAAAGAAGAGTGGTTAGGCTACTATCCCTAGCCAATAGCCGTGGCAGGAGCAATATTAATAGAGCTCAGGGTTTCTGGCAGGGGAAGGTATTGATATCAGACAGCTAAGTGGATAGAAGAGCTGGAAGGTGTGAGAGCATGGCAGGCGTTTGTTTTCCTAGTGCAAATCCAGACGTCCCTTTGCAGTAAGGGTGAAGCACAGCACTACAGAATTAAAATATAATTGATGTAATTTTTTGGCTCAGAGGCAAAAGCATTCCTGGGTCTCCAACATGGCAAGGAGTCTTAGTCCTCAGGATTACTGAAGCTTCTGAGGGCTTTGAAAATGCTGAAAAACTAGAAGTGTCTCCCTAGAAAGTATCTGGTAGCGGCAGTTGTTGTAATGCACTGGCTGATGACATGACAGTAGCTCTCCGTGTTTCCCACAGCTAAATTACGTTAGACAGCTAAAATACATGAAATGCTATCCCTGTATCATTTTCTCTGCGAGTTACTGCTTTAGTTGTCAAAGGACGGCTCCATCAATGGAAAAGGAGAAGTCAAGGGGGTAATTTCCACTGCCCTCCTCTTTGCAGAGTTATTAGTTCCTCAGTAATTCAAGCGCAGAATGAAAACACATTTATACTTGATGTCATTTACACTCAATTTGAACAATTGTAATTGACTTCACAAGCTGCAGGGTGGTGAAGAAATAGATCCAGGGTATCCTTACAGTTAACCTGTATCTTTAAAAACAAGAAGTCCATCAAAGTAAACTTTTCTCTACAAAAATGCTGGTACTTACCAAAACACTAGTGCTTTCCCACACTGGTGTCTCTGTGAAGTGACAGGCTTTCTAAGAAATCGTGCTGTGTTCCCAAGACTATAAATCAAGGTTCTCTGAAGTTACAGTGAAGGGAGACAACACTTGCCGTGGTGTCTCACAAGGAGCTGCTTGCGCAAACAAGAGTGTACAGTGGCTGGGAAGGAGCCTGAGGCAATGAACCGACCTGCTAGTGGCATCATATCACCAAATCTAATGCGAGGATTAAAGCCCATTTTGTGTGAGCTCTCCAGGGCCAGTCTCAGAGTGGCACAGACCGACCTGCTGGCAGTGTGTGGACTCTCATTGTCGTCCTGGCTGCATGCTATATCCAGGGAATGAGAGCTGGCTTGGGGACCATGGATGCCTCCTGCTTCAGGTCTGTCTTTTCTTGTTGGTTGCAGAGTTTGTTCGCATGATGTCCCGTTGAAGATACTTTTCAGCTAAAGAAGAATCAGCACCTTAGAGAGGGCAGAAGAGGACCTAGATGGAGCATCTAGCCCCGATGTTCCCATGTGAAGGTTTATCGGCTGGCTGCGATTGGGACATTGCAAGATGACCTGCTGCTCCTCCCTCACAGTGGTCCCCATGCCCCTCCACCCTTTCACACTGTGAAAGACTTGCAACTTCCTACAACTGGAACCATTCCTTGAAGATGATTGCAGGAAACTGCAGAGCCAGAACTTGCCATGATGCTTTCATGGGATATTTGCAACTTTAGACTCCTCCTCCCCAGCTTTATTCTCCCACCAGCTGCTGCAAAGCAAGAGCAGGAGAGATCCTCTTGGCTGGGTGGATGAGAGCAAAGCCATTGGGACTGGTGGCAGCCTCAGGGCGTGCTCTGCACTTCTTGGTTTCCCTTGGTGAACTGTGTCTGTGTTTGCTGTCTGTGTGTGTCTATCTGTGTGGAGTTATTTATGCTTCCCCGGCACATATTCGCATCTCCTGTGGTTATGTTTACCAAGAGTAAATTCAAATACATGTCTTGCGGGGGAAAAGCGATAAATATGCACGTTGAAATGATGTGGAGCCTGGATGTCCCTGTGAGAGGTGGTGGCTGGCTGGGGGAGAAGGGCTGTGGCAGATGCACGCTGCAGCATCTGCGCTGGGGTCCAGAGGCAAGTCTTTGCTGCGGGAAGGGGAGTCACTGCTGGCCACTAAGCCTGTGGCAGGGCTCTACCCTCCCTCCTGTTCTCACAGCAGAGGGGCCTGGAGGTGCCTCTAGGTGAGGGCAGTGTGGAGGGGCCCCACCTCTGCATCCCCCTGGCTTGCAAGGGGGCAGCTGAGAGCCCCTGTGGCATCGAGGCAAGGAGCGATAGGAGGGCACAGCGGGGAGCTGGGTGGGAGGGGGATAGACAGCAGTCGCCAAACACCCCCCTTTTCAGGCCTTTTCAAACACAACTGTGAGCGTAAGCACAGTGAGGGCTGTGCTGTGGGAGCTGAACTGTAACACTGCTGGTGCTGGGGATTGGCCTGGAGCCTCCTTGCGTGGCAGCACCCTGCTCTCCAGCTTGCCCACACTCAAAAATGCTGCACGTGTCTGCAGCGGTGATGAGAGCAGCCTCTGGGCCCTACCAGTTGCTTCGAGACACATAAGATGCTCATCCTCCTTCTCCTTTCCCCCAGATGGTCCCAGCCTCCAGCTCCCTTCCCCTACTCTGCCAGACCTGCAGTTATCCCCTTTCTCTATGCAGAGGCTCAGTCACAAGTTGCCAGGACTAATTGCTGCTTGGCTTCAAAGGGCATCATCATTGCTGTGTGTTTTCTCAGTGAGACTGGGAGCTGTTTTCCTCTCGGTTGCCCCCTTACTCCAGCTGGGAGGTTAGGAACCAATATCCTCCTGCTTCCTCCATCTCAAATCTTTCACTTCCCAGGTTCCCTTTCAAAATCTGAGTCCACAAATCCATGTCCCAAAAGAGGATTTTCTCTTCTGCTCTCCTGTTGCTGTGCCAACCAGCATAGCTGCAGCGATGGCTGATATCCCAGCAATGGAAAAACTGTGTTCCTCCTTGTATTTCTGTGTGTGTGCTCGTGCTTGCACAGATGTGTGCACTGGGAAAGGGGTGTGTGTGTGTGTGTGTGTGTGTGCATACAAGCAAGGAGCGCAGGTAGGTACCTGGGAGTGCAGCAGTAGAAGAGTTTGTTTGCAAGTGGGTGTATGCAAACTGTGTGTGTCTATCTATAGAGCTGGTCCTGTATTAGAAATGTGTGTGTGAGCCAAGAAATTGGAAAGTGGATATTTACAGATCTGTGTATTCACCAGTACAGCAGCTGTATTGTGCTTAGGAGATGAGTGTGATAAACTGGGCAGAGTCCAGAGTCCTGGTAAGTTATCTATGGATTTAGGATAATGCTGGGGAGGGAGAGACCAGTGCAGGCCATTGGGAGTGTTTGTACACAAAGGTGCTTCACTCGCAGTGGAGCCTGTTGAGGAAGAAGCGTGCGTGTGTTCACAGAGCAAGAGGACAGCTGTGCTGCCTGCCTGGATGCAGCAGAGTGGCTGTGCCTGCTCGCAGGGACCGGTGACAACTCGAGGCACGTGCCTTGTGCTGTAGCCACCCTGCACAAGCCCGATGGACAGTTAGTGGCAACAGGCACGGTGGCTGCCCCTGCCTGCTCCTTCCCGGGTCCTGCACCAGGCAGCTGCATCTTTTGCCCGCAGTGGCAGATGGCAGGACATGGGCTTAATTTATTTAGAGTTGTAAACCCATTTCTAGAGGCTGCACTGATCCACAGCACAGCATCACGGTGGCTGGGGATGTTCTCTGTGGACCACTGCCATTTTCACTTGGGCAGGTCCCTGCGTTTGAACCATGGCAGAGCTGTGTTTGCAGGGACACCAGTGCTAGGGCAAGGGTGGCTGCAGGACACACTGCAGAGGCAGTCCTGGAGCCACAGCTACTTCTGAGGAAAGCTGGGTCTCTGCCAAGTGATCTGTGGCTCTTTTCTGCCAGGTCTCACCATGATACAGTGAACAGGTCAGACAGGGCAGGCCTCCAAAGCATTATTTTTTTTTCCCTTCCAGCAGAAGCTCTTGCTGCAAGCCTGGTTTTACGTGCACAACAAACCCCAAGTAATCCCAGGAAGTTTTACTGTTTTCTTGTGCAGACAGGTCAGAGATTAAAACTCCAATCTAAATAATCTAATTCCAGAGATAATCCTTTGCTCTCATCTCCAATCTGGTACCAGGGAGGTTTCCAAATAGCTCCACATGGCAGGGCAGAGCTGGTCCCCTCTGGACATCTGAGCCCCATGTGGTTCAGGAGCTGGCCAAGGCAGTGGGGCTGGCTCACGCTGACTTCTTAGATGTCTTGTTAACCATGAGGTCTGCTTCTGACACGCAGATTGATCTTTTTGGACATCCCAAATCCTGATCCCTTTTTCCTTTTTCCATTTTTTTTTTCCTTTTTCCATTCCCTTTACAGGAAATGGCTGATACCCAAAAAACGTGCCCCACACCATTTGTGAATGATCAGGGCTGTAGAGCAGGCAGGGCTGATTCAAGACAGTCATTTTGGCACAGCTGCCAGGGGACAGGGAGAGACTGAGGGACTGAGAAGGCAGCCCTGAGCCTTTCACTTTTAGGTTACTGGTGTAAATCCAGCCTGCATCAAGGGACTGATGGCTCAGTGGATTAGTAACAGGATACAGAGCCTTTGACATCTGGGGCACAAGCTGGCATCAAGTAGTTGGTAACAATTCAGTGATTGAGGAGCAGCAGTGTAGGACACCGTGGACACAGGCCATTGCAGCACATCTGCCATCCTCTGCCAGCAGCTGTGGCCAGACCATGAGCCAGGGCAAGTCCCTGCACCTGGATGAGCACAGCCACTGTCCCTTCTCACTCGCTGCTGCTTAGTTAATCCCTCTTGCTTCATCATGGGCTGCTGATTCTTGGGAAATAATCACCAAGACTAGTTATTAGAAGATACTCTGACTGGGAGGCAGAGGAGGTGTTGCAATGCTCAGTGTCTTGCCCTCTAAAAAGGCTGAGTCCTCAGGTGGAGGGGAAAGAGAGGTTTTCCCCTCTGTTGAAGGAGAGGAACTCTTCCTTTTCAAGGAAACTCTTCTCTTTTCAAGAAAAAGTTGCTGACATTTCACTGTGAGATGTGCAGGAGCCCTCGACAGGGACCCCAGGCTTGGCACAGCCACAAAAGCCCCTGGTGACACTCCCAAGGCAGAGGATGAGCTGGGTTCACTCCCAGCTGCTCTTGTACACGTCTAGGGCCAAAGAGGCCCCTTCAGCTGAGGAACCCGTCTTGGTCATACCTCAGTGTTAGCTAGTAAAGCCCTTCATGTCTGAATTCCTGCTCACGGGCACGTTTGCTCTGGGCTGAGCAGTTTGGTGCTGGGTTTGTAGTGAAGCTCCAGTCACTGGCTGCATGATGGCCCCTGTGCCCACCGAGACAGCGAAGGTCCAACCATGAACCTCACACTCTCCAGCTCACCGAGGGCTTCAGCCAGGCAATGCTTGGGCCCTGCTGCCACCCGTGTGTGTGTGTGAGCCCTGCGAGGGCCCTGCAGACCCACGGACCAATTGCCTCAGCCCACTTGTGCCACACAGGGGGCTGTGCCTGGCCCTCAGTGGGACCTTTGCTGCCCTGGTAGGTCCCAGGAGAGGAAATATGAGGATTTGCACCCATAGACATTGCTGATTGTAACCTCAACCCTATCATCTCCTTGGCCCACTAATGAGTCACACCATCCCTCTTCTCACTTCACTCTTTCAGCTCATGGCAGTAACCTGGTGACACACAAATGCTTTGAACTTGCACTCCTGACCCAAGCACATCACAGTTTAAGCTGAGAAATCTTGAGAGATTAGGGAGGATCATCAGTAATCAGTACAAATGAGCTCTAATGAGGCCTCCCTCGGCCTCGCCAACTGGACAGCATTGTTCTGGCCATGGCTTCTTGTTCTCCTTTGAACTTGGGGGACACCCAACAGGTCACAGACACAGCAGGGATACGGGAGATTAGTCTGGATTTCACCAGATGCTGCCAGGGCTGGGGTCTGTAGTGCTGAGACAGTTTGCCAGGAGCCAGCGTGACGTGGCTTAATCTGGAGGGGTGCTAAGTGTGCGTGTTTCACGCTGCTTTTCTGGATGCAGTTTCCTAAGCCACCTTGCAGTTTCAGGAACCCCTTCCCAGCAGCATTGCTGGTGTGGGAACACTGCAGTGCCACGTCTGCCCTGGCCCAGTTATACCATGAGCCCAGGAGCTGATGTGACAGCAGAAGGGACACGCTCTGGGGCCTGCTCCGGCCTGGGCTGGGCAGGTTAGGGAGCAGGGGCTGGGTGGTTATTCTCCCCTCACCAAACTGACTCAATTTCTCCAAGGCCGTGTCCTTTGAAGAGGCCTCTGAGGTACATTACAAAAGCAACGAGCCCATTTAATTCACAATCAGTTCTAAGTCTTTATTTCTAAAGGCAAATTAATAATGGAAAAACCTAAATTGATAAAACCTCCTTGGGACTTAGGAGCAGCCACTGGTAGTGCAGTTGGGGACTGAAGTGTGGACACAAGGCTTGGCTGGCATTTGAAGCTTTGGGGAACACCAGGATCAGACAGAAAGGCAAACACGGAGGCAAACATTAAGTTATTTGCTCACCGCCACTGTGTCGTGAGTCTCACCCCATCTCCATCTGTGATGTCTCACTCCAGCCCTGCCAAGACCTCGCCAAGGTCCTCCAGGGAAAAAAACCCCAAACAACCCAAAACCGAGGATCTTTCATCCTCCTGTAAAAGGCAACACAGGGAGGAAGCTCGCTGGCAGTGTGAGGGGCAGCTCCCCCCTTCCTCTTATCG